TGGTTATTAGCCGTATTCAATAATATATAAATATAATATATAAATCGAAAGTATAAAATATATAATATCTTACATGTCTAAGTGGTAAGTGTCGCATTTTTAAAAAACTAAGTACCTATGCAAATCCCAGATATTAATCGAAAAGGATATACTATTGTCATTTACTTTCAGATTCTATTAGCAACAAAAGATAATCTCTGGGAAATGTTACACGACTAAATTTGTCAGGCATATATTAATTTTTTTTTGTGGCCATTATCTGCATTTCACGATCTTGTTTGCGTTCACGTAAGTATTTCGATTTATCCAAATTCTATTGCTACATATTTAATTTAGTTCAAGATGACAATAGTAAGCTAAGGTAGGTATGATGCAAAATCATCGTTACATAACATTCATTTAATCTCAGTTGAGAATATTATACACAAAAATTAGAACGGTTCATTTCCAAAAAGTTCATTAGGTCAGATCTTCCAATAGAAACCAGGTACTTTTATTATTATTATTATTTTAACACTCAAAGCACAGATCGGCCCTCATGAAACATATATGTATTTTTAAACGAAAAATTGACTTTACTAGATAGATGCTGTACATACAGTTCAGTATTTACACCATCTACACTAACAGCTTTTTGAAATAGTTAGTGCATATTTAAAGGACTATGACTATACTTAGACGAAAATACCACTGGTTTGCGAAATAATTGTAAAGTCTGGTTTTATTGATGTAAATTGCTCAAGGGGGTATTTGTATTTAAAACGTGGACGCATAAAGCAGGAACACCAATTTTTGCAGGAAAACTTTTTATTCGACAACAAAGAATGAGAAAACCCATTTTTTGAGATTCAATTGAAAACGTTGAAAACAACGAGAAAACTTTTCAAGTGAGACTTCTAGGTATTAATGTGATCTACAAAATAAGACCACACGTAAAAATATACCACTTACGGTACTCAATATAGATGAATTTATTATTAATTAATAACTCTGCCCATCAAGATCCGGTTGGTGCACCTATAATGCCTACCGAGGACCGTGAAGTGCGTAAAAAACATGAAACATAGCATTGTGTTTAACTGCTCTCCTAGAAATCCATCTAAGTGCACCATTGAAACGATCCTTTCAGCGTTTTATCTTCTAACGGTTTCGTTAATTGGGAAAACGTAGTAATCATAGCAGCCTGTGAAGATTGCTCTGTTCAGATTACGCACGAACACGAATCCGATGTTCTTTTAGAGAAAATCGCAGTTATTCGGAAGGAATGGTTCGACGTCGGTGGAACAACGTTAGCCAGTGTTAGCAGATTCAAGGTTTCAAATTTTGATGTGTAGAGAAATAAGCTGCTCGATTATTTTCAACAAACAATTCATGAATATCAAAGACTGACAGGTAAAATAAATTGATGATATGATGTTGCTGGTAACAAGGTGATCTTACCCACTGTGAATATCTAAATCATAGACTATTTCACCTATAGACAAGAAACTTTCTAGGTGGGCATTGGCACTAGGTTTTCATGGCAGAAGCCATCTGCTGCTTGACATTAATTTTTGAACTAACAGAAAACTGTAAAAAATGGCAAAAAACGTATACACAGTAAAGTGCCAAAAAAACAATATAATGCAGAAACTACACAACTTTAAGGAAAAAAGGGAAGGAAAGGAGAGAACATATAGACCAGATGTCATCTTATCCTTTAGTGATTTAATGGCCTTCCTGACTTCATTTTCCTCAATTGGATGAAAATGGACAAATAAGTTACTATGACTTAGTGAGGCATTATTATGGGACTTGTGAGTGACATAGACGCTGCTGAAAAACTCACTGAATGCATTTACTATATCCTGAGACTGATCTATAGAATTATTTTGAAATTTCATTATCCCTGGGATTCGTGATGTGTTGTTTCTGGAGTGAATGTATGACCAAAAAGCATTGGGGTTAATTGTTAAAGAATTCTGGATATTTTCAATATATTGATCATACGCTGATTTAATCTGATTTTTTATCATGCGGCCCAAACGTTTGAATTCTTGTACATCAACAAGAAAAGCAGACCTGTGGATTTTTTTACTAAATTTAGCTTTAAGTTTAATAGCTGATAATAGCTGAGTGAAACCAAGGTGGGTATCGGTGACTGTAATTCTTATACAGAGGTATGTGCCTGTCAAAAATTTGGAAAATGTTGCCATAAAATACATCAACAATATAATTAACATCAGTAGAGCAGAATAAAACATCCCAGTCAAATTGAATTAGCTCTTGATACAGGTTGACAGAGTCAGCCTTTCTGTAGTTATAAGTTATTTTACTATGATTGAATGTAAACTTAGGCTCTTTAATGAATATGGCATTCACATCAACAGCTAGTAATGGGTAAAGCTGTCGATACATAATTTGGAATTTAGTTTTTAGCACTTCTATATGATTCCGCCAAGTCATCCCTTTGTCCAGAATGACACCGAGATACTTAGCGGAGGATTCCCATGGTATACGAAGTCCATTCATTGAAACTTCAGACGGAAAGGATTTAGATGAAGTACGCGGGATTTTTTACTTTGTCCACGCCACTGTCACTGTCAAGCAATGTAGACAATGAGGACGCACACTTTTATAAAAAGCACACATTGTCATGGAGTTACATACTGGCAAAGATATTTATACGGATGTACATTATATTATCAACATAAAACAACTCGTATACTCAAATCACAAAGCTGGAATAACAAAGGTTTTCCAGGTTTTGTTTTTATGCTGGATATGGTGCATTGCGGTCGAATGTAGATGCAAGTTTGTAACATTTGTATTTTGTGACGTTGCTCTATTCATAAATAATAGATTCTCTACAATTTGAAGAACACGAGTCTCTTTACACCGACGCAGCGAAATCTGTTTAACACTAATGTTATAGTATTATTAACGACTATCTCAGAAATTTCCTCATAAAATATCATTGGTTCCTCGTATGCCCATGGGCAGCCAGCGCCACCTTGTCATTTCTGTATGTACTAACCTATACAAAATTTTGTTTTATATCAAGATATCTTCTTTTAAAAATCTGTATGAAATATTTGATTTCCTATCAAAATACCTTGTTTTAAAAACTTGCGTGTACAGACAACGCCATTTTCTTTTCTTTCTCTGCGTTGAGGTTTTGGTTGTGCGTTTCGTTGGTAATAATTTCTAGCTTCTGGGGTATTAACGCCCCAAACAACAGATTATGGAGTAGCATCCTTTATTTTGTACCTTACGTTTACTTGTTTTGGTTTAGGTGCTACCCCGTCCATTTTCTTGTGGGATTTTAACCTTCTCTACAATTTGGATAACACGAGTTTTTTTTCAAACCGATGCAGCGAAATCTTTTTGACAGTACTGTTATAGTATCATTAACGTCTAATTCAGAAATTTCCTCACAAAATATCGTTGGTCCCTCGTAGAGTTGATTCCACCCATTGCCAGCCAGCGCCACCTTGTCATTTCTGTATGTACTAACATATATAAACTTTGGTTTTCTATCAAGATATCTTCTTTTAAAAATCTGTATGAAATATTTGATTTCCTATCAAAATACCTTTTTTTAAAAACTTGCGTGTACAGACAACGCCATTTTCTTTTCTTTCTCTCCGTCGATATTTTGGTTGTGCGTTTCGTTGGTAATAATTTCCAGATTCTGAGATATTAATGTCCCAAACACCAGATTATGGAGTAGCATCCTTTACTTTGTACCTTACGTTTAGTTCCTTTGGTTTAGGTGCTCCCCGTCCATTTTCTTGTGGGATTTTAACCTTCTCTACAATTTGGATAACACGAGTTTTTTTTCAAACCGACGCTGCGAAATCTTTTTGACACTACCGTTATAGTATTATTAATGTCTATTTCAGAAATTTTCTCACAAAATATCGTTGGTCCCTCGTAGAGTTGATTCCACCCATTGACATCCAGCGCCACCTTGTCATTTCTGTATGTACTAACCTATATACAATTTTGTTTTATATGAAGATATCTTTTTTTAAAAATCTGTATGGAATATTTGATTTCCTATCAAGATACTTTTTTTTAAAAACTGGGGTGTACAGGCAGCGCCGTTCTCTTTTCTTTCTTTCCGTTGAGGTTTTGGTTGTGCGTTTCGTTGGTAATAATTTCCAGATTCTGGGATATTAACGCCCCAAACACCAGATTAAGGAGTAGCATCCTTTATTTTGTACCTTACGTTTAGTTTCTTTGGTTTAGGTGCTACCCCGTCCATTTTCTTGTGGGATTTTAACCTTGTCTACAATTTGGATAACACGAGTTTTTTTTCAAACCGATGCAGCGAAATCTTCTTGACACTACTGTTATAGTATTATTAACGTCTATTTCAGAAATTTCCTCACAAAATATCGTTGGTCCCTCGTAGAGTTGATTCCACCCATTGGCAGCCAGCGCCACCTTGTCATTTCTGAATGTACTAACATATATAAACTTTGGTTTTCTATCAAGTTAACTTCTTTTAAAAATCTGTATGGGATATTTGATTTCCTATCAAGATACCTTGTTTTAAAAATTTGCGTGTACAGACAACGCCATTTTCTTTTCTTTCTTTCCGTTGAGGTTTTGGTTGTGCGTTTCGTTGGTAATAATTCCCAGATTCTGGGATAATAATGCCCCAAACACCAGATTATGGAGTAGCATCCTTTATTTTGTATCTTACGTTTAGTTGTTTTGGTTTAGGTGCTACCCCGTCCATTGTGAAGAAGATAGTTGAACTTTAGAGATGAATTTTTCGACAATCATTATTTTCCAGCTGTATGGACACAAGTCGCTAGTTTTACGGTATCGCAACCGGATTAAAACTGGAGGACTGTCACGTTTTTCCAATTATTACGCTCGCCATTGTGCACCTCGATTTCGTTAGAATGGTAAATTCGCAGAACTGGAAATAACAAACAGCATTTGGATACGCGGAATTCGATGTTACCAATTGAGTTTGTCGCTGGTGGAATGTTCTAGAAATTAACGGTTTAATAGGTATTTTCTGAGAGAAACAAATTGCACACATACAGTGATAAATGTACAAAAAATTCCCCAGCCCACGTTGTGGCGCCACCGAGGGCAACAACTAGCGCCATCTAGCGGCCACCTCCGAAACTGCGCAGTCTAGAGCCTCCGGTACTTTAGAACTATCTGGAAGGAAGAGAGTCAATCAGTTACCGAGACCGCAAACTGCGACTCCGAAAATGTTTGAGATCAGAACGCAAAGTCCAATCTATTACCAGGATCGATCAATTCGTCCTGCCGTACTACAATAGACTTTGTACTCTGGAAAGCCGATAGTTGCTCAGCTTCGTTCGATACCTAAATCATTCATGACTCAAAAAGTACTTCTGAGGTTTTGATAGTTGCTACCACGCTAAGGAAAAAAGAGTCTTGTAGGTTTTGAAATAGGAACAGTGGCAGTGTAATTATGAACAAAAAACGTAAAATTTGAGGAGGTTCCCAGGGTTCGTTTTTCCATAGATTTTGGATTTGCCGAAAGTATTCTCGAAGGGGAAATTATTATTGAAGAATCTATTTCTCAACTATCTGACCGATATAGAATAGGCGGGTCAAGATTTTTTTAAATCTCCGCGGATAATGTAGTTCGGGCGCCAGCACGCCAAGCATGTGAGCAGTACTCCCGGCTACCTTCTGTCTGAGAGTAAGGAACTTATGTGGACAATACGTAGAGTACAGTACGAGATGTGCTCATGGCAGATCAAGTCCTTGGCTTATATTTTGAAAAATTCTAGGATTTTCAAAATTCAAATAATTGTAGCAAGCAACCTCGTTTGCACAAGTTATAAATATGACGGATAAATCTATATTACAGAGCTTATTCTTGCGGGTACCCGCTTTATCATGTGAGTCGACACATGCCCATTTTTCTACCTCGCCATACAGTTGGCAACAAAGTTTCATTCCCCACGGAAGTTTTCGGTCATAATCAGGTACAGTGTGCGGATCCGGAAGGCCTAAAATATAATTGGCGAAAGGTCGAACAAAAGTTCTTTATGTTTGCCAGTTTTCAACTTTCCACCAGCCAGCAACCCCCAGCTTTACAGTTCGCCGAATATAATTATTCCATAATCATTACATCGTACGTGGCTCTCATTTAAAGTTTTTAGCTCCCAGTACTCATTCGTTACATTATATTACGTAATGTTTCACCATGTTTGCTGCCAGAGGCTTTAAATCGGGTTATTCCCAGGAGAGATTCTCGGTATACTGAGCTTTTAGTTTCCTTTACTAGTGAGGACATGCGGTGTTTACTCGCTGAAGTTGAAGAAGCCTGTAGGGAATTGAGTCGCAATTTACTAGTAAGCTTGACCATTTTGTGGAAGGTGATGGTTCGTTTTCTAGACAAAAGTATTAACTGTGTTAGTAGAGTAGAATTTTAAAGGTTATTCTTCCATATCTTATTAGAGGATATTAAACATTTTCAACTTTGACAAATTTTCAGTTTTGGGTATCAAAATTTTCAAAATTTACCGAATTATCGTATTTTTAAGAATTTTCTAAATTTCCAAAATTTGCATATATTTCAGAATTTTAAAAATTTTCAAATATTTCAAAATCTTCAGTATTCAAAATGTACAGAATTTCCAGGATTTTTAAAATTTTCAACATGTTCAAAATTTCCAAAATTTTCATAATTTAGTGTTTTTAAAATTCTCCAAATTTTAAAACCTTCATAATTTTTGAAATTCTTAAAATTTCCAGGATTTTCAAAATTTTCAGGATTTTCAAATTTCCCAAAATTTTCAAGATTTTCGAAATTTTCAGAATTTTCAAAATTTTTAAAATTTTCAAAACTTTCATCCTTTCAATACCTTCAAAATTTTCCAGATCTTCAAAATTTTTAAAATTGTAAATATTTCAAAAATCAAAATCCTCAAAATGTTCAAAATGTTGAAAATTTTCCAAATTTTCAGAATTTTAAACATTTTCTAAACCTTCTAAATTTCCTAAATTTTCAGAATTTTCAAAATTTTCAAAATTCTCCAAATTTTAGAAATTTTCCAAATTTTCAAGATTTCCAAAATTTTCATAATTTCAATATTTTAAAAATCAAGGTTTTCTATATTTTCAATATGTTCAAAATGTTCAAAATGTTCAAAATATTCAAAATGTTCAAAATGTTCAAAATGTTCAAAATGTTCAAAATGTTCAAAATGTTCAAAATGTTCAAAATGTTCAAAATATTCAAAATGTTCAAGATGTTCAAAATGTTCAAAATGTTCACAATGTTAAAATGTTCAAAATGTTCAAAATGTTACAAATGTTCTAAACCTTCTAATTTTCCCAAATTTTCTGTTATTTCAAAATTTACAAGTTTTTCTAAATTTTCGAAATTTTCAAATTTTCAAGATTTCCAAAATTTTCATAATTTCCAATATTTTAAATATCAAAGTTTTCTAAATTTTCAATGTTTAAAATGTTCAACATGTTCAAAATGTTCAAAATGTTCAAAATGTTCAAAATGCTCAAAATGTTCAAAATGTTCAAAGTGTTCAAAATGTTCAAAATGTTCATAATGTTCAAAATGTTCAAAATGTTCAAAATGCTCAAAATGTTCAAAATGTTCAAAGTGTTCAAAATGTTCAAAATGTTCATAATGTTCATAATGTTCATAATGTTCATAATGTTCAAAATGTTCAAAATGTTCAAAATGTTCAAAATGTTCAAAATGTTCAAAATGTTCAAAATGTTCAAAATGTTCAAAATGTTCAAAATGTTCAAAATGTTCAAAATGTTCAAAATGTTCAAAATGTTCAAAATGTTCAAAATGTTCAAAATGTTCATAATGTTCAAAATGTTCAAAATGTTCAAAATGTTCAAAATGTTCGAAATGTTCGAAATGTTCGAAATGTTCGAAATGTTCGAAATGTTCGAAATGTTCAAAATGTTCAAAATGTTCAAAATGTTCAAAATGTTCAAAATGTTCAAAATGTTCAAAATGTTCAAAATGTTCAAAATGTTCAAAATGTTCAAAATGTTCAAAATGTTCAAAATGTTCAAAATGTTCAAAATGTTCAAAATGTTCAAAATGTTCAAAATGTTCAAAATGTTCAAGATGTTCAAGATGTTCAAAATGTTCAAAATGTTCAAAATGTTTAAAATGATCAATATGATCAAAATGTTCAAAATGTTAAAAATTTTCAAACTGTTCAAAATGTTCAAAATGTTCAGCATGTTCAACATGTTCAAACTGTTCAAAATGTTCAAATGCTCAAAATGTTCAGTGTTTTCTAAATTTTCATATGTTCAAAATGTTCAAAATTTTCAAACTTCAAAATTTTTGAATTTTTGAAACTTTGAAAATTTTCTAAATATTGAAAATTTTCAACATATATAGGAATTCTAAGAATTTCAAAAATTTTGATGATTTTCAAAATATAAATAAATGTTTTGGGACTATTCGAAGACGTCGAAAGTTGAGACTCTTGATAACTTTTAAATCTTGGGTATTCTACAAACATATAGTTTTAGAAACTTTGAGAAAACTGAAACTTTTGAAAAATTATGAAATTTTGAATAATTGGCTAATTTGGTATTTTTGAAGATTTCTAAAATTTTGAGAGTTCTGACAGTCGTTGCTCTGGATCCTCTCCTGCGAGCATTCATAGACAATGCCTATCGTTGCAGATTTTCGCTATAAGTGGTGACATGGCAAGAACCATTTGAAAAGTTTGTGAGCTTTGAAAATCTTGAAAACTTACAAGTTCGGCAATTTTAGAAATTTTGTAAATTACCAAATTACTGATTTATTAAAAATATCTCAAAACTTATCATTTTTAGAATACCCAAGACTTCAAAGTTACCAAGATTGTCAACTTTCGACTTGCCGAAAACGAAGCACGAAATAAGAAATTACCCAGTTTTGCTGTACTATCATTCACGTCGTCGCAAAAACTAAATCGCGGTGTGTTGTTAGTCTCGAGATTGCCATAGAGTGCGGCGGAGGCAATCCAGCATAAAACATACCCGTCATAAGCGGAGAAGGAGAGCTCAGAGCTAGTTTCTGAGAGATATCGTCCTCAATTTGGCACGACCAAATCGGGAATATACTGCTGAATAACACCGGATTGTCGACATCATCTCATAAATCCTACGGTATGCTACTCGACTCGACTTCTGCCTCTATTCGGCTTGTTACCAAATTCACTACTAAATCTTTTTAAATTATGTGCCGGGAAAAAGTTTTGGAACGTTCGTACGTATTACCGGCAAATATATGCGGTGTTTACGACGTGAATTAGCCGCCAAATGTCATACAAACGTTCATAGCTAGTCTGGATAGATCAAAGAGTTTCGAAAATGTTCCAGGAACAAAACTGGAATACTTCTCGCCAAAACTGACTCAACTTACTTTAGCGTAATATACCACTACGCATTGCTTTACATATCTTAGTAGCATGAAAATATATTCTATCTTCTAAAAATGTGTATTCGAAAATATTGAGAATATTGAAGTTTCGGAAAACCAGAAAATTTTGAAGGTTGAACAAATTCTGATATTATGAAGCTCTTGAAAAGTTTGTTAAGGCAGGATAGTATTTCCAATAGGGAAGATTTTGGAAATTTTAAATTCGTGAAACCCAAATATTTTTAAAACCTTGAAAATGAACACCTCAATGTCCTGGAGAATATTGAAAATCAGAGAGTGTGTAAGTTTCAAAAAAATTTGAAAACTTCGAAAATCTGAAAGTTTTGAAACTCACGGGTATTTGGAAGTCTTGAAAATTGACATTAAAAATTTTGAGAATCATCTTTTTAAATTCAGTAAGGCCTTGGGATTCTGAAGGTTTCATATACTGTAATTTTATTTACAGTTTTGAGAAACTGACAAATATAAAAATTCTGGAAATTTTATAGTTTTCAAACCTTGAAGTTGAAAAACTAGAAAATTTTGAAGGTTCAACAAATTTTGTTATTATGAAGATCTCGAAAAGTTTGGAAATCATGATGGTATTTGAAATAGTGAAGATTTTGGAAACTTCAAATTTGTGAAACCTTCAATTTTTGGAAATCTTGAAAATTTTTAAATCCTCAATATCCTGTAGAAATCATGTTGAAAATCAAAGAATGCATAATTTTCCAAAAATTTCCATTTCCAAAGTTTCACGGATATTTCGAAGTTTTTGGAAATCTTGAAAGATTCTTTGGAAAGTTTTAGACTGAAAATTTTGATTTCAGTAAAATCTTGGATTTCTGAAAGTTTTGCAAATTACAAATGAAAAATTTGTAGACACTTGAACATTTTGAGAAAATATGAAAATTGAGAATCCTGGAAAGTTTATAGTTTTTAAATTATTAGAAGCCTTGAAATTTCGAGAAACTAGAAAATTTTAAATGTTTGAACATTTTTAATATTATGAAGGTCTCATGATGGTATTCGAAACAGTGAAGATTTTTGAAATTTTAAATTTGTCAAACCTTCAAATTGTAAATCTTGAATATGTTGAAATTTATTTTGAAAACCGCAATATCCTGGGGAATATAGTAGATGTTGAAAATCAAAGAACGTGTTAAGTTACTAAAATTTTTGAAAACTATGAAAGTTTTGAATTTCACTGGTATTTGGAAGTTTCTGGGAATAGTGAAATATACTTTGGAAAGTTTGAGACACTGAAAATTTTGAGTATTAGCTTTTCAAATTTAGTAAAGTTGAAGATCATGATAGTATTCGAAACAGTGAAGATTTTGGAAATTTTACATTTGTGAAGCCCGAAAGTTTTGAAAATGTTAAACACTCGGAAGGCCTCAATATCCTGGAAATATTTAAAAACTTGAAATTTTTAAAAACTGGTAATTTTTAACATTTTACTTGAAAATTTAAAATATTGGATTTCGAATATTTTGAATAATGCTGATAAATATGGAAGTGATGAAAGTATTGAAGATTTTGGAAAAATTTTGAAACCTTAATATCTCGAAAATGCTCGGAATTTGAAATATTTTAATATCCCGATAATTATTTGATATTTGTTAAAATTAGAAGATTTTAGAATTCTCTAAAATAAGAAAATTTCAAAATTGAACAAATTTTAGATTTGGAAAAATTACTAAGATTTTGTCTATTATTTTGAGAAAATTGGAAGTATTGAATTCTTTTTTGAATTACAGTCTATAAACATATAAATCGCTCCTATTCAAAGTTGATTCCTAATTACTGCGGAGATGAGAACGACACATTCGCTATCGTATCTCATTTCATCTCAAACAATTTTTCGAATACTCTAATATAGTATTAGGCTAGATACATTCAGGCAGAGCACGACAATGGTATAACTATGTATAGAAGTGGCAATGATGAGATCTTAAGGGCTTAACAAAATAAATCTCAAGCTGCGGACTCTTCTTGACATACGATGCAATTAGTTTTCTCCTAGATAAATCTCTTCGAAGAAATCGAAGAAATCACCCTACGTAGCAGTGGTTAATGACCCAGTAGGGTGTAATTCAGGTAACGGCACGGTAAGTCAGTCTCATAAATTGTCGCAGAAAGGTGAAGGATAAATGCTTCGACTGAGAATAATCAGGATTATTGATCACATCGGGCGCATCTTTAGCCCTTTTTCCGGGCTAACTTAGTGGGGTTGTAATCAGCAAGTCTTCAATTTGAAGCACTGATTAACGTTTTTTCTAACGTCTCGCACGGTCAGTGGGGGCTTACGAGGGGGTAGGTGTTAGAGGGGAGGCGGTGAAGTGGGGCTTCCTCTCCAAAAGCTCATTGGAAATTGAAAAATACGCAGAAAATTCGTGATAAAATGGCATTTACTCCCAGAAGCACTAATAAGGCCAGCCACTGTTACCCTACCCCCGCTCTTCAATTTTCAATCCGGTTTTTATTTTCATTTAATTCTTCCTAGCCCTCACCTAATCTCGCTTAGGATCTGCCCCTGCGAGCATCCACATGCGGAAAACATGTCCCCAAAAATCAGTCAATATTCTATATGAACAGTATGTTTACTCTCTTCAGTTTATATAATTAGTACAGATGTGGCAAAAATAGGATATTATACCTTTTAATTATATTTGAAAAACCGTTTTATTGCGAAGATACAGAGCGAAATAAATTTCCAACGATAATAACAATTTAATCTACAAGAGCTGTACGCATGGGCTACCAACTCTAATACACCTATCCAACCTTCACCTCATCAACTGCCCAATTCTTTCGAAAACATCAGGGTTGTTTCTTATTGAGTTAGACCCAGCAATCATCCGATCTTCTAAATCGTCCACATCTTCCACTATACTACAACTATTTAAAACTGTAATGACTCATACGCGTGATCAACACGTGATCTGAGCTCGATCCCGGCTTCCTTCCAGTACAGCCGTATAGCGAACGACATATATGTCGTTTCTGTGGTTTTGCGGTGGTCAACAGCACAGACATAGATGGAAATAATGGCTGAATGTTCTCCGCCGGTAGAACCAATGAAATCAAAGACGCGCCTCGACCGGCAGACTCAAGGCGTCGGCAACGCATTGGAACGTGTTTCGTTGAGCGATCGCATATTGTGTGTTTTTATAAGAATTGTTGTGTGATTGTTATTGTTGTGGTTTCTGTGGTTACTGTTTTGGTTATACTTAACCATGGAGAGTACAAATGGCACCAGTGGAAGTACTGAAAGCCAGGGAACAAGTATACGGCTTCGTAAAGCACTGAAGAGGGACGCGAAAGAAATCGTGCTCAACGTGTTCAATTATCTGAACAGAACTATGTCGCAGGGAGATGCACTCGCGCGTTGTGAAAGTATGACAGGCGTTCCAGAGTGGACCATTCGCAGGGTGGTGCATGAAAAGAAGAAAACTGGAGCTACTACCGATCCAAAGTTTAATTTGAAGGGACGAAAGGCCATTAAATTGGATGACGATAGCAAAATGGCGTTAAGGCGAACCGTACATTCATTCTTCTTTAGGAATGAGATACCAACCCTCAAGGCTGTACATGCAGCGATCAAGGAAAATGAAATTATACCCCAAATGAGCATCGAGGTAATGAGGAAATCCCTGCACGAAATTAATTTTCGTTACGAAACGCGCAATCGAAAGTCAGTATTGATAGAGAGACCTGAAATAGTCGCCTGGCGTCGAAAATACCTACGCGAAATGATTGAATATAGGCGACAAAGCAGAAAAATTATTTGGACGAGACATGGGTAAATGCAGGTCACACAGTTAAAAAACCTGGATAGACAAAAACGTAGCGAGTAACCGACAAGCAAGCATTGAAGGTTTGTCAACAGGTCTTCGTGGACCGTCAGGGAAATGTCAAAGATTGATCGTTACTCATATTGGTAGCGATTGTGGCTTTTTAGAAGAGTGTGACTTGATTTTCGTCTCTAAGAAAGGAGGTGATTACCATGACGAAATGAATGCCAGCTGCTTCGAGAGCTGGTTTCAAGGGGTGCTTCAGCGAGTTGAGCCCAACTCTGTGATCGTCATGGATAATGCTTCCTACCATAGTCGTCGAGCCGAACGTGTACCGACTATGGGAACTCGAAAAAGTGACATGCAGCACTGGTTGCGCGAAAAAGGAATCCCGTTTGACGATTCATGTGTGAAAGCGGAATTGTATGAAAAAATTAAACCGCACAAACCTGCGAACATTAGTTACGTGACTGATGAGATGGCCCGTCAATGTGGTGTCACTGTGCTGCGGTTACCGCCCTACCACTGTGAACTGAACCCAATAGAGCTCATCTGGGCTCAAGTGAAGGGTTATATTGCGCGTCATAACACAACCTTCAAATTACCAGACGTTAAGGTTTTACTTGAGACTTCCATACAGCTAGTAACGCCCGAAGCTTGGCAGAATGCTATCCGTCATGTTGTGAAGGACACCATCATAGAGCCAGTTATAGTCAAGTTCAACGAGGAAAGCGATAGCGACAGTTTATTACTGTCAGATGTAAGTGGAAGCTACGATGAATAAAGGTAATTCCCAAATTTTTTACTTACAATATGTTTCAAACCACTCTTTATTAAGCATGTGACAAATCTAGTTCACCCATGTTAAACATTCATACCCCGCCTATGAACAGCCGACTACTGGTAGTTAAGTGATGTTCACGTGAACATCGATGAGTCATTACAGTTTTAGATAGTTATAGTATAGCCTAGTGTAAACTAATGACTGGCCCCATAGGTAATAATCCATAGAGCTTGAGTCCGGGGATCGCGCAGGCCATAAAGGAGGACAACCGCGACAAAAATTACCTTCGACGTTTACCGTTCTTACAATACTTAGTATTTCTGGTCCTGCACTTAGCTTCCAAGTTCTTGTTTCTCTAAAATATGCTTTGGAAGATTTTTGTTTCGGGAATAATACGGTTAGGAAGTCGTTCAATGTTCAGTCAGCAATTTCAAATGGAATGCATGTCAGTCATCTCGGTATTCGTATGGTGAAATATGATAGAGGACTTGACAAACAACCGTTTAAGTATTAAGGACAAAAATTCCAATAGTCAAACGTGAGGCAATCTTAACAAACTCGACAAGCAAAATACCCACTTCGAGGACTCCTTTTTGTCGCATGTTTATACTTGATAAGTTCAATCCTTATTATCGAATCGAAATTACTCGCCCTATATCTTCGGAACAAAGCGCTTTTTCAAGGAATAACCTCTTTGATGTTTGCCGCAGGTCTACAATACAACTTTCACTCATATTCAGTATCGCAGAATTTGTCTCCTAAGACATTTTTTGATTAAGACGTGAAACTGACTAAAAAACAAGCTCCTAGCAGAACAGCCTTGGCAGTGGCTCCCAATGTCTTAGGAAACGTCACACCGAACTGAAACGCTACTGCAGAAGCATAGCTCTCCGTCGGTGCCCAACTTGATATTCTTCCTATCACACGGTTAGCTTCATATATCTAAAACGTCAAAACGCATTTCACAATTCAGATAAAAGTTGGTTTCCTTTGGTGACCTTGAACATGACCTTGAGTATGATAATTCTGGATGGCCGTTAAGTGAAACGATATATGCAAGATTCAGCTTCTACTATACTTTCGCAACGTCTTGTTGGAGAACTTGGATAATAAAAAAACAGGGAGTCACCATCGCATTCATTCAAATGTATACTAAGTGACATATAAATCCGAACACCCAGTTTAAATGGTTTTATTTTAATAAAAGTTGGTGAATGTATTTATCTTACTGTAAATAACAAGTGAAAAAATGTTCAGCCTTATCAGTTGGACATTCCGGTTTTTATACTGCTTTTTTTTAATTCACTAACGCTCTAAAAATGAATATTTCAGCCGCAGTAAAGAATCAACGTTGGCGGATTTTGGTTCTTGACATCCTTTACGATCGGTTACGATGCCTAGAGTACGGAGACCTGTACGATTTCGTCAACTTAGTGAGTTTGATAGGGGCCGTATAGTGGGACTTCGGGAAGCTGGACTTTCTTTTCGGGCAATTGCAGTTAGAGTGCAAAGAAGTGTAGACACTGTGGTTAGGTGTTGTCAGGCATGGCTTCGAGAAGGCCGTACGCAAAGAGCAAGGGGCACTGGACGCCGCCGTAGAACAACAGACCGTGAAGATCGCTGCCTAAGATTATTGGCCTTAAGGGACCGTTTGTCCACTACCAGGTCCATTGCAAATGAATGGTTTGCAGAACACGGAAGATCTATTGGCATGCGAAGTGTTTACCGACGAATGAGAAGTTTTGGCTTGTTTTCATACCGGCCACACTGGGTCCTTCCTTTAACTCGAGAACACCGACGTAATCGCCTTGAGTGGTGCAAACAACGGTCACTCTGGGATCAGGAATGGAACAGTATTGTCTTTAGTGACGAGTCTCGATTTTGTTTAGGCATGCACGATGGTCGTGCCAGGGTTAGAAGGTGACGTGGTGAAAGGAGGAATCCACAGTTTTTTGTTGAAAGACATGTTCATCACACTGTTGGAGTTATGGTTTGGGGAGCTATAGCTCATGGTTCCAGGTCACCTTTAGTCTTCATCAGAGGTAACATGAACGCGCAGCGTTATATCTACGAAGTTCTAGAACCCCATATTTTACCCTATCTTGACACCCTGGCAGATCCAACTTTCCAACAAGATAATGCCCGACGACATGTTGCAAGAGTCACAATAGACTTCTTTCAACATAATGATGTCACATTGTTACCATGGCCACCAAGATCTCCCGACTTATCCCTAATTGAGCACGTGTGGGATATGATGGGTAGGAGATTGCTCAATTTGCAACGTCCTCCTCAGACTCTAGAAGCACTTTGAGAGGAGTTGGTGGTTGCCTGGAATGAGATACCACAGGAGGACATTGACCACCTGATCAGAAGCATGCCTAGGCGCGTTGGAGAATGCGTAGCACATCAGGTTGCATCCACGCATTATCAAAGGTCAAAGGGCTTTAAAGCAGTGCAATCATTTTGAAATTTTTATCATTTACTTATTATGCTCCATTAAGTACTTATACAAAATTTTATTAAAATAAAACCATTTAAACTGGGTGTTCGGATTTATATGTCACTTAGTATAGTTTTTAAATTATTAGAAGCCTTGAAATTTCGTGAAGCTAGAAAATTTTGAATGTTTGAAAATTTTTAATATTATGAAGGTCTCATGATGGTATTTGAAACAGTGAAGATTTTTGAAATTTTAAATTTGACAAACCTTCAAATTTGTAAATCTTGAATATGTTGTTTCTAATATTTTTGAAAACTCTGAAATTTCACTGGTATTTGGAAGTTTCTGGGAATAGCGAAATATACTTTGGAAAGCTTGAGACACTGAAAATTTTGAGGATAAGCTTTTCAAATTTAGTAAAATCTTGGAGTTCTGAAAGTTTTAAGAACTGCAAATCAAAAATTTTGAGAAACTGGAAACTATAAAAATTAAAAAACCTGTCAGTTAGTTTTCAAAGTATTGGAAACCTTGAAGTTTCGAGAAACTTGAAAATGATTAAGTTATAAAAGAAACTTTAGACAATCCTTTCTAATTTTTGTATGTATGCATATATATATATATATATATATGGATTTCAGTTTTCAAATTGTTGAATGTCTTTGTCGTCAGTGCCGCCTAGCTTTTTATACTATTGACTACATTACATCACTATTGCATTGAGTCTTATGAATATTAACTATTTATCTATCCATACTAGGATGTTCCAAAAAAATAAAAGCTCTTTTTTCAAACGGATACCTTGTAATTTTGCTTGAACACTGTCTAAACAGCCGTAAACAAAGTCTTATATACGTAGAACGCGGCCAACCCGTGCCGAGGTTGCGTTTGAACATGCCAAAACTTGCATAGTAGGCACGAGCTATCCAACTTATTGCAGTGGTCGTTTGTTCTATTACGCACTGTTTACGTTCTCAAAATTATAAAGTCCCGTGAAGCCGGATTTTAGACAGAAAATCGATCGTTTTTCACCACCTGTATATACTATCGTCAAATTGACATCGGATTCAGAATCTACGCTATCGATTTACTTAAGAGACAAGTATTTGTTCATATCACAAATAAGAAGGCAGTTTTGATTTTTTTTTTTCATAGGAAATCTGGAAAAACAGTAGTTTATAGAGGAGAATTTCCATTTTCGTTTCCTGATGTCACAAATAGAAGAAACTTTCCACACCATGATAATTTGGGACGCTGAATGCGAATATGGTCATAAAAAAATTGTAAAGCGCCGTGAAGCCGGGTTTTAGGTAGAAAATCGATCGTTTTTCACCACCCGTGTACACTATCGTCAAATTGACATCGGATTCAGAATCTACGCTACCGATTTACCTAAGAGACGAAGATACTTAGGACAAAAGTAAAAAATGGACTTGGCTTGTGACAAATTACCTCATAATCAGTATCTTTTGCGAAAAATGAACACAGGGCACCTCGTACGGTAAAAAAACAATCGTTCGTCGCTCCTGTTATGTCATATGTCAGTCGCCATGAACATCTCTTCCGCACTGTTGCGATACAGCCTTGCAGAGGGACGGACACATCTAAGAAAATATCATAGTCAAACATCTGAAACTTGACCAGTGCTTTTCATGCTGGTATTTCCCCATGTTTGTCAAGTCAAATCAAGCCACATGATCCATTCACCACTGACGTCGTGATGTGTACGAAAAAAAAGCGCATACGCATGTTAGAAGGAGATAGAGTCACCACGTTTTCGCGTTTCTCTCTCGAACACATTACCTCATCAGTGATATTTGGCTTATCTGTATGTGTTGGCCAAACATGGAGGACTATTATTCTAATAAAAGTAGGAAGGTATCAACATTCTACGTACAGCGGTCTTAGGCTTAAAGTTTGGAATCCGAGTCTATGGGCTTTCGAATTTTTTTGTGAAATGCGTTTAAAATACTGTATACTAAAATGTTCACTTATTGATTTTGTGCGCCCTCTAATTCACCCTAGTAATTAAAGAAGAGTTGAAAGTATCGAGGGTGTCCCAGAAGTCGACGTCAAGCCGAAACCGGGTGATAGGCAAAGTCATAACAGCTATCAGAAAAATATTTAAAAAAAATTTATGTATTTTAAAAATTATAGGTCTTTGAAAAAGATATAGAAATTTCACACCCTACGGCAGTTTGTCAACTCCTGTTACTACAAATATTAACGTTTTTTGGATTTTATTTTTACAATGTAATGATGAATAATGCATCTTCAAACTGGTGTCTCAACCTTACTGCCAACTTTTCTCGTTCAGGAAAAATTGCCACTTATTTCCCAACCAAGTATTCCAAAGTAGAACTTTGCTCAACTTTAACTGGCTGTACTGGAAAAAATGTACTACGAGAGTTTGGCAAGTAACCTTAAAAGTTGGCGCATTTAACAAGGATTCCAAAATGGTATAACACTTAGAAGATTACTCGTTAACTTATGCACAATTTTTATTTGAAGAAAAACTGATGAAAATTTTTCAAAATTTCCTAATTAAACAGCGATTATGAAAACGCACAAGGACCCTTCAGGATAACTGTTTGCACAACAGTGGGCGTCAAAATGCTGCTGATGATGATTTACCTTTACAGCAGATGCTCAAACTGTTTTCGTTCAGCCGCAATACACGCTCGACATCTTCTTAAAAAAGATCGGGTTATTAAACGAGCGATCCACGGTTATTAACAAACTCAGCTGCTTCCAATAGTCTTTGCCGTAGCTCAGCTACATTTTGAATCGGCTTGAAATACACTTTTTCTTTTACAGTTCCCCAGTAAAAAAATCTGAAGGATTCAAATCAGGTGATCGGGCTGGCCACGGTATTGATCGAGATACTCTCTCACTGAGAGTGCATAGTGCGCTGGGCAGCCATCATGCTGAAACCACATGTCCCTGTAAATACTCAGTGGCACGTCCACCAATAAATTTTGTACATGATTTTTCAAAAAATCCAAATAAACTTGAACAGTCAAAGTCTCTGGGAACTCAAACGGACCGATTATTTTACCATTTAAAATTCCTGTCCAATGGTTTATCTTGAAGCGATATTGAGATTTATCTTCTCTCATCAAATGTGGGTTTGCTACGTGCCACTCGTATAAGTTATGCAGGTTCATGTACCCATCTTTCTTAAATGTGGTCTCATCCGACCATAAAAATTTTTCAAAGAACTGTGGATCTTTCCTGTGTCTTTCTAACATTGTGCGACAAAAAGCAACTCGGGGCTCATAATCCCGGGGCAGGAGAGGTTGAACACGCTGTATGTGGTATGGATGAAGCACATCACTTACTTGCTATTGCACACTTTGATACCGATCAGTACTCCTTCGTTTACTGCGCATCTTTACAGGTTCGTGCTTGTTGATTTTGTACTGTTACTAATTTTGGATTCGTGAACTGGACTGTTGATCGCTTGTGATTTGGATTTGGACTGTTTAATTGCTCTTCAAATAAACATTTGCTTTCCTTAGACTATCTTTGATAGTGTGATTATGCAGTGCCGCTATGTCCGTGTATACCGTACAAGAATATGCTAACATGCATCTCATTTATGGGGAATGCAGATGGAACGCTAGCGCTGCAGCGAGACTTTACTGTGAGAGGTACCCGAATGCAGCTCGTCATCCAGATCATCGAGTGTTCACAAATGTGCACCACTTACTGTTCTCAGAGGGCCAACTACCAAACCAATCACACGGTGAGGGAAGATCTGTCCTTCCTTACGAAGACGTGGTGCTAGGAGCTGTCGAAGAAGACCCGAGTACTTCAGTGCGTGCAATAGAACTAAAAACAGGTGTGCCCAAAAGTACAGCCCATAGAATCTTGCAAAAAAACCTGCTCCATCCGTACCACGTACAGCGTGTTGAAGCTCTTCTGCCCAGGGATTATGAGCCCCGAGTTGCTTTTTGTCGCACAATGTTAGAAAGACACAGGGAAGATCCACGGTTCTTTGAAAAAATTTTATGGTCAGATGAGACCACATTTAAGAAAGATGGGTACGTGAACCTGCAAAACTTACACGAGTGGCACGTAGCAAACCCACATTTGATGAGAGAAGATAAATCTCAATATCGCTTCAAGATAAACCATTGGACAGGAATTTTAAATGGTAAAATAATCGTTTGAGTTCCCAGAGACTTTGACTGCTGAGGTTTATGTAGGTTTTTTGCAAAATCATTTAGAAAATTTATTGGAGGACGTGCCACTGAATATTTACAGGGACATGTGGTTTCAGCATGATGGCTGCCCAGCGCACTATGCACTCTCAGTGAGAGATTACCTCGATCAAAACTTTCCAGGCAGATGGATAGGGCGGTCTGGTACAATACCGTGGCCAGCCCGGTCACCAGATTTGAATCCGTTAGATTTTTTTTACTGGGGAACTGTAAAAGAAAAAGTGTATTTCGAGCCGATTCAAAATGTAGCTGAGCTACGGCAAAGACTATTGGAAGCAGCTGAGTTTGTTAATAACCGTGGATTTGCTCGTTTAATAACCCGATATTTTTTAAGAAGATGTCGAGCGTATATTGCGGCTGAAGGAAAACAGTTTGAGCATTTGCTGTAAAGGTAAATCATCATCAGCAGCATTTTGACGCCCACTGTTGTGCAAACAGTTATCCTTAAGGGTCCTTGTGCGTTTTAATAATCGCTGTTAAATTAGGAAATTTTCAAAAATTTTCATCAGTTTTTCTTCAAATAAAAATTGTGCATAAGTTAACGAGTAATCTTCTAAGTGTTATACCATTTTGGAATCCTTATTAAATGCGCCAACTTTTAAGGTTACTTGCCAAACTCTCGTAGTACATTTTTTCCAGTACAGCCAGTTAAAGTTGAGCAAAGTTTTACTTTGGAATACTTGGTTGGGAAATAAGTGGCAATTTTTCCTGAACGAGAAAAGTTGGCAGTAAGGTTGATAGACCAGTTTGAAGATGCATTATTCATCATTACATTGTAAAAATAAAATCCAAAAAAAGTTAATATTTGTAGTAACAGGAGTTGACAGACTGCCGTAGGGTGTGAAATTTCTATATTTTTTTCAAACACCTATAATTTTCAAAACACATACATAATTTTAATTTTTAAATAGTTTTCTGATAGCTGTTATGACCTTGCCTATCACCCGGTGTCGGCTTGACGTCGACTTCTGGGACACCCTGTATATTAAAGGAAATGAACTAAAACAATTTGAATCCCAGCAACGACACCGTAAAACAGAAACATTTACATACACTTTTTTCTTAAGGTCAAAAAAATATACACGCTGGTATATTTCAGTCCTAAACATTCGTATACACAGATAATGAAATGGAAAAAAAAGGAATAAAAAACATGTTGGAAATTAAAAGGCCCACAAATTAACTTTTAATATGTAATATTTTAAGCGTAGCCCACTGTGTACCTGGATTCTCCGCGACTAATGCTAGTTCCTAAGCATGCTATGCATGGTGATATCAAAGAATGTGAAATTAACGCATCTCAGAACTCTAAGCATGATGCAACAACAACAATGAAACAAATGGATCCAACACAGAAAAAAGCTTTTACAAAAAAAAAGTACGGCTCGGAGTGCCTTCAACAATTTATCAGCATATACTTCCATATGATAGCAAATGTGTTTATAAGTTTTTATCAAACTTTAATAAATAATTCTGGTTGTTGCAGTTTATATGTCACTTAGTGTATGTTGAATATAATGGAAAGAACCATCAAGAAATCTTACATCTAACTTGAAACAGGCTCTAATTGCGTTGAAATACCATGGAAGTGGAAGTTCAGTTGACGCCAAATCTTTGTTTTGTACACCTAGAATTTAGAATTCATTTGGAAATACAGAGTGTTGAATGCTAGATGGAGTCACCAGCCATCTGCTTTTCATTCGTCAATTTTTATACGTCTGGCCCCAATTGATACTTTAATATCGAGATCGCGGATCACGTATCAAGAAGATATTTGATTCACTGGAATAAACCCAATTCTTACCGACATTATTCCAGCACGAAGAGATCGTTTCGTATTGGACAGCATGAAACCCAGTACAGCTAACTAACTTCAACTCAAAAGATTGGGTTTTCCAGGGACAGCAATACGCTTGGGCCTTTTCAGTTTTAAGAGCAGTGTACAATCTCCGTCCGTTTCGGTCTTCTACGATATATTCACTACCTGCTCCCTCCACATTCAAGGATGTTCGGAGTCTTTGGCGCACCATCAGCGTATCTACCGAATCTAGGAGGTCTAGACCTGCCGGGATTTCTTTCCACTTCTCTGACATAGCTCTTTCTCTTCGACATTTCTCTGGCTGCGTTGAAGGTAACTCGCCATGAACTGAGGATTCGGACGTACTGGTCATATGACTTATTCTGTGACATTTTCTTCACAGTATACTAAGGATAGATCCATGACAATGTCTAGCCAAGAGCTTACATCGCGCATATGTACAGTAGATAGTAGTTATACTAGGTGACATATAGATCCGAACACCCAGTTTAAATGGTTTTATTTTAATAAAAGTTGGTGAATGTATTTATCTTACTGTAAATAACAAGTGAAAAAATTTTCAGCCTTATCAGTTGGACATTCCGGTTTTTATACTGCTTTTTTTTAATTCACTAACGCTCCAAAAATGAATATTTCAGCCGCAGCAAAGAATCAACGTTGGCGGATTTTGGTTCTTGACATCCTTTACGATCGGTTACGATGCCTAGAGTACGGAGACCTGTACGATTTCGTCAACTTAGTGAGTTTGATAGGGGGCGTATAGTGGGACTTCGGGAAGCTGGACTTTCTTTACGGGCAATTGCAGTTAGAGTGCAAAGAAGTATAGACAGTGGTTAGGTGTTGTCAGGCATGGCTTCGAGAAGGCCGTACGCAAAGAGCAAGGGGCACTGGACGCCGCCGTAGAACAACAGACCGTGAAGATCGCCGCCTAAGATTATTGGCCTTAAGTTTTGGCTTGTTTTCATACCGGCCACACTGGGTCCTCCCTTTAACTCGAGAACACCGACGTAATCGCCTTGAGTGGGCAGACAACGGTCACTCTGGGATCAGGAATGGAACAGTATTGTCTTTAGTGACGAGTCTCGATTTTGTTTAGGCATGCACGATGGTCGTGCCAGGGTTAGAAGGCGACGTGGTGGAAGGAGGAATCCACAGTTTTTTGTTGAAAGATATGTTCATCACACTGTTGGAGTTGTGGTTCGGGGTGCTATAGCTTATGGTTCCAGGTCACCTTTAACCTTCATCAGAGGTAACATGAACGCGCAGCGTTATATCCACGAAGTTCTAGAACCCCATCTTTTACCCTATCTTGACACCCTGGCAGATTCAACTTTCCAACAAGATAATGCCCGACCACATGTTGCAAAAGTCACAATAGACTTCTTTCAACATAATTATGTCACATTGTTACCATGGCCACCAAGATCTCCCGACTTATCCCCAATTGAGAACGTGTGGGATATGATGGGTAGGAGATTGCTAAATTTGCAACGTCCTCCTCAGACTCTAGAAGCACTTCGAGAGGAGTTGGTGGTTGCCTGGAATGAGATACCACAGGAGGACATTGACCACCTGATCAGAAGCATGCCTAGGCGCGTTGGAGAATGCGTAGCACATCAGGGTGCATCCACACATTATTAAAGGTCAAAGGGCTTTAAAGCAGTGCAATCATTTTGAAATTTTTATCATTTACTTATTATGCTTCATTAAGTACTTATACAAAATTTTATTAAAATAAAACCATTTAAACTGGGTGTTCGGATTTATATGTCACTTAGTATATATCAAGAAGGAACAGACAAGGTAATGGACGTATCTAGGGGTGTAAGTAATATAAAGAGTGTCGCATAAATAACGTAGACTTGAATTTGCCGCCATGATTGCATCAAATTGTAAGCAGTCCTTTAGAAATTCTAAAAACTTAAAACTGTGTTTTCCATTTTAGTCCAAAATTGCGTTAATTTTTAAATAAATAATCCTTTATAACCGGATTCATCTGTTTAGTCGAAATCAGATGTATGAATGTATTATCTCTGAGCCGCTTTCCAGTGGTTTTGGTTCGAGAGTTCTCCAGAAACAATGGATGAGTTATATCAGCCGTTCCTGCTGATATGCCAGGAATACTGCCGACGATGCTACTAATTTCCGAGAAGGCCTAGAGTTTACTTTATTGTTCTCAACACATATGGTATAACAGGAAGTGTTTTAGATTGGTTTAGAAATTATTTATCTAAAATGATGCAAGTTACAAAAGTTAATGACACTATTTCATCAAAAATTGAAAATACGTTGGGTGTTCCACAGGGCAGTATCCTGGGACCACTTCTTTTTATTTTATACATAAATGATTTACCTGCCATAGTAAAAAAATGCAAAATTCAGATTTTCGCCGATGACACTATGATTTACCTGTATATAAGTACTAAAAATATTCAGTCTGGTATCTCTTATATAAATGAAGACTTGAAGCTTGTCTCAAAATGGTTAGTATCTAACAGACTAAAATTAAAAGCAAGTAAAACGAAAGCCTTGTTAATCGGAAAAAAACAATGTACAAATGTTCAACTGAATATTGATGGTGAAGATATTGAATTCGTAGAAAATTTTAAATACCTGGGGGTTTTTGTTGACTCTCGATTAATTTTTTATATTCATTATGAAAAAGTTATAAATAAGATTAGTAGTAAAGTGGGATATTTATCGAGAGTTTCTGGATGTCTGAGTTCATATAGCAGAAAAATTATCTATAATACCATCATTTTTTCAAATTTCTTGTACTGTTCGACTATTCTATATTTAGCAAATAATTCCAGTTTTGAAAGACTGCAAATTTTACAAAATAATTGCATGAGAATAATACTAAATAAAGATAAATATACTCCAATTAGGCACATGCTTAGCAAATTAAAATGGCTCAATGTAAAAAATTTTATCAAATATCTTGTAATGATATTCATTTATAAAGTAAAAAATAATATATTTCCATCAAGTCTAACTAATTTAACATCATCAAATGTCGACCATCATTTACACAATACCAGAAATAAAGATGACTTCCATTTAATGATCAAAAAGTATAACATATGCTACAAGGGTTGATTGAATATAATAAATTATACTCGGAGATAAAAGACCAGAAAACTTTGACAAAATTTAAAGTAAAATTGAGAAATCACTTGTTAAATCTACAATTATAGGTTTCCCAGCATTTACATCATACACCATATGGCTTGAATTTACTAGTTCTAAGTTGTTTACAATAATTCTGTTTATGTAGCCAAATGTGCTAAATAAATATTTCTACTACTACTAATTTTATAGTCAGTCAGATTTAAGTCTTTGTACTGTTAACATCATAATAACATTGTAATAATTTTTTGGGTTTTTGTATTTTCGAAAATAAACTTTTCAAAAAGTGACCTCGAGGCATCGATCTTATAACTCATGAGAATGCAACGTGCAGTCGAATGTTACTGGTGCTGAGCACTACTGATTTACTCAGAGGTACTCAACAGGGTCACTGGAAAGCAACTTTTTAGTGTAGCTAATAATCTATGTCTATAACCAAAACGAAAATCTCAAAGTCAGTACCAGTCAGTCCCGTCAATCATAATTCGAAACCCGCGTTCGAAAATTGCTCTCTTCATCATAAGTGTCTGCTCAAAATATGCCCACGCATGTCGAACCTTGAAGCTAAAAATGGCATGTTTGAAAGGCTATCCTTCAGGTTTGGAACTTCTAGCAACAGTTAGCGAACTGTCGGTTCAGAAAAAGGTCACCATTTCTGAGTTTGTGTCCAGGACAGGCGCTGATCGTGAGTACATCATAGAGAATGGATATGGAGAGAGCTTGTACAGCGCTTACGAATTTTCGGATTGGGGTAATGCTAGTTGCTATAGCGAGAGTAGGCCGTTCAAGATGCGGGTTTTTGGAAATAGAGGTGTTGAGGCTATTTATTTCGATAGACCGTTTTCCTCGTGCTATCAACATATAGGTAAGGGTTTTACAGATCTGTATTTCGACTTGCTTGCTCATAACAACATCCTCAGCAGCTGCTTTGATTCATTCAATTTCATTCAAGTCATTGATGAGCCTACACGTGTTACAGCCTTCAGTTCCACATTACTTGATCCAATATTTGTTAGTGACAATACTATCGTCAAAAGGTCAGAGACACTCAATGCAGACTCAATTAGTGATCATCGGCTCACATACTGTGATATTTCCGTTTGTTATAAAAAAATTTGTAGCCTAAATTTGTAATATATAGAAATCTTAATAGCATTGATATTCAAAGTTTTAAGACGCATATTGCATCAATGCAGCTTAATGACATTTATTTCGTGAATGATGTGGATATTAATTTCTCTATTTTTACTGGCCGTCTTCTTTATCTATTCGATCTCTACACTCCGCTACCTACAGTACGTGTCACAAAACCTGCTGCGCCCTGGCTCACTCCTAACTTGAAAATGATTTTTCAACTCAGAGATGAGGCATTCGCTGTCTATCAGCATAACAGATCTGATCAGAATTGGGCCAGCTACAAAGATTTGAGAAATAATGCCCTTGCATCGCTTAGAAGAGAGACAAAAGCATATATGTCAGGTTTCCGGAATCTTAACTCTAGTCAAGCTTGGAAACACCTGAGGAGGATGAATGTGGTAACCCAGAAACATGTTGCGATACCTCCCAGTCTCCTTGAGCCTAACATTTTAAATAATTATTTTCTTTCAATTTTCCAGACAGCTGCAGCTGATCCAGATTTGATTGATAGTGTCTCTAACTCTTATAGCTATAGACGCCATACACCGGATGCACCTCTATTTGCTTTTAAACTCCTTACTCAGCAAGACATCGTCAATATAATCTCTCACATTAAGTCTACGGCATGTGGCTCTGATGGTCTAACTATAAATATGGTTTGCTTATGTTTGCCTGATACCATAGACCATATAACTCACATTATTAATGTCTGTCTCGAAACAGACCAGTTGGAAAAATGGTATTATTATTCCAATAGCTAAAACTAATCATCCAGAACAATATTCGGATCTCAGGCCAATTACCTTATTATGCTTTCTATCAAAAATACTCGAAAGAGCTGTCTACTCACAACTAGTGGAGTTTTTCGAACAAAATCACTTATTTCCTCTACATCAGTCAGGTTTCAGAGCTGGTTACAGCACTACTTCGTCTTTATTACACCTTACTGATTCCATCATTCACAATTTAGACAATCACATCAACACCGTCTTGGTACTGTTAGATTTCTCGAAAGCCTTTGATATGGTCAATCACCAGATACTACTGAGTAAGTTATCTCATTATGGAATGTCAGATATAGTTCTAAGGTTCTTTGAGTCATAC